TATACATATGGATATATGTAGGTGTGGGTGTGTGTTATATATATGTATTTATATATATATATATATGTATAATTGTGTATATGTTTTTATATATATAGTTGCGATCTGCAACCGAGGTTGTAGTAAATCTTTTGTACGTATTCGTGTTTGCAATACATTTCTACGTAGTGTTAATGAGCGGATAGGCATTTATACACATGCAGATATCATTTAAATGCCGCTCCTTGTTATGTGCATGTGTGTTTATTGTGATAGATGATATCAAGAGATGTCTGGAAAGCTTTAAAATATATCGCCCGTTGCACACGTGTGCATGTTCTTTCGTCTGTGACCGCTGGCCTTGGCTTCTCAACCCTAGCCCTGTCTTTTATTGCTTCCCCAGGTGTAACTATTGTCTTACTCTGCCCTCTCTTAGCCATTCCTACGTATGTGATATGTGATATTTCACGCAAAGAACATCCCAGTCCTATCTTTTATTGCTTCCCCAGGTGTAGCTATTGTCTTACTCTGCCCCCTCTTACCCATTCCTACGTATGTGATATGTGATATTTCACGCAAAGAACATCCCAGTCCTATCTTTTATTGCTTCCTCAGGTGTAGCTATTGTCTTACTCTGCCCTCTCTTACCTATTCCTACGCATGTGATATGTGATATTTCACGCAAAGAACATCGAAAGCGACGCAGATGAACAACTCATCATCACAATTCCGTAAGTCTGCACTTTCTGAGTACCATAGTTGCGAAGAAGAACGAAAGCTTATTGTGGTCAGGCCATTGTCTTCTGGTCTGTTCCCAGGGACGTCGACCCATTTTCAAGACGACGATTCCTTTTCACAGCCTGAATGATTTAGATGAGTATATATTTGGTACTAAACGCCGTTAAATTGAGTGCCGAGCGTGTTGTATCTTTCCAGGGACCTTAGTTGCGTTTTACGAAGTCTGGTTATGTTTATGCTTCAGATTCACCGGCCACGTGTCGATCAAATCAATCAAGATCATCGCTGAGGGCGGGGAAGAGCATCCCAAGACGTTGAAAGGCATGTGCGATATGTACCGAACCTCCACCCAAGGTCTTGACCTTCTGTCTTGGATGTATGTGTGCATGCGACAAGCTGTGTAGTCTGCCTCCGGCAAGCCCAATGCCGATGAAGGTGAGGCTCTGTTCACTGCACACGTGTTTGGCTTTGGGTTTGGCTTTGAATTTGGCTTTGGCCTTGGCTTTGGCTTTGGCTTTGAATTTGGCTTGGCTTTGGCTTGGCTTTGGCTTTGGCTTTGGCTTTAGCTTTGGCTTTGGCTTTGGCTTTGGCTATGGCTTTGGCTTTGAATTTGGCTTTGGCTTTGGCTTTGGCTTTGGCTTTGGCTTTGGCTTTGGCTTTGGCTTTGGAGTTGCACTGCTCAGATCTGCGAGCAATTATAACTACGGAGGAGAGCATACACTCAGGAGTTCGATAGTACGTCGCTAGGCTGATAGTCTAGGATCCCATATTTCTATTCCGAATTGAATGCGTTTCGGTATGTAAACGCATTCAACCATGCGCGACTGAGTGCGCTGGGAACGAACTAACACCTTACCATACCTTACATCGCGAATACGTTGCATACGCAATTAAGAATAGACAGCGCCATGCCACGGTCCGGTATTCACTCTCAGTTTCTTGTCGCTGTGCCTGTTGGTTCCTGCAGTGTTTGGCAACCGAGAGGACATAGACTTCGACAACGTGGACCAACTACAGCCCTTGCAAGAGATCTCCCTGAACGATGATCCCAGGGGTGAAATTGTGTACCCTACTAGGTGTGTAGGTACCAGTGCCATGTATATAAAGTATATGATCTATGCATGTGAGTACAGTATATAAAGTATATGCTCTATTCATGTATACAGTATATAAAGTATATGATGATCTATTCATGTGTATATAGTATATAAAGTATATGATCTATTCATGTGTTTACAATATATAAAGTATATGATCTATTCATGTGTATATAGTATATAAAGTATATGATCTATTCATGTGTATACAATATATAAAGTATATGATCTATTCATGTGTACATAGTATGTAAAGTATATGATCTATTCATGTGTATACAATATATAAAGTATATGATTTATCATGTGTATATAGTATATAAAGTATATGATCTATTCATGTGTATACAATATATAAAGTATATGATCTATTCATGTGTATATAGTATATAAAGTATATGATCTATTCATGTGTATACAATATATAAAGTATATGATCTATTCATGTGTATAATATATTAAGTATATGATCTATTCATGTGTATATAGTATATAAAGTATATGATCTATTCATGTGTCATTACATGTGTCCTCCTGTTGCACGATGATCCCAGGGGTAAAATGATGTACCCTACTAGGTGTGTAGTTTCCGGTACCGAGTAAAGCGTACAGTATATGAAGTATATGATCTATTCATGTGTGTACAGTATATGAAGTATATGATCTGTTCATGTGTCAGTACGCAGGTGTCCATGTAAGTGTTGGTACCTGACAGGGCCTGTGCACGGTCAATTTAAAATGTGGTGATGGTCACTGCTGGGAATCAATACGTTTTCTTTCAACCGGGTACTTCAATACGGCGAACGGAATACGTTCATGGTTCTAGTGTAGCCGTATACACTCTGGTTATTTTCAGCCCGCGAGTTTAATTTCAGTCACCCGGGCACACAGCGAGTCGGTAAAGATGCTATGGCACAAACAAAACAATCGTGTTCGATCTTTGTTGTTTCCATTTATACCACATACAAACACACCGCTGATTCGATTTTCAGTACTACGTGCCGGTAAAGAGACTATTACACGAACAAAATAATCAGGTTCGATCTCTATTGTTTCCATATATACCACTTACCAACACGCCTTTCGATATGCTCATTATGCTCATTCGATTCGGTGACCCTACGCCGGTACGCTACTTCAGTTCTGATGTCCGTTTTATTTTTGTCCTAAATCATCATAATCAGGGCCTCGAAGTTCCAAAACCTGCACAGCGTGACTCTATTTATAGAATCCAACCACGGTGGAGATACAAGCAAGATCTACTACATCGGATTCTCAGGCGAGCACAAAAATGTCTCCCGCAAGACCGTGATCGCTGTCTACGAAGCGAATGCCAACCCAGCGGATCACAAGGTCAAGGATGACTTAATGCCGAGCAGTTCTATATCCTAGAGCGTTCGGTTTTCACGCGGCCATGCTTTAGGGCGCTGTTATAAACGTTTGAAACGGTTTGGGTCAGCACGTAGGGCGTACTGGGGGGGATCTGCTGCTGTGGTACGTATATGATAGAGATAACAAGTTGAGATGGCTTGTGCGTGGACGCCGAGAGTGTGGGCTGTACAGGACAGAAATCCCACTTCACTGTCGCAGACGAAGTTAATGAGAAACTCGAACGAGATGCAGTTTTGTACCAGCCTGAGTGAGCTATGATATTTGATCATGGATCTGGCTACGTTCGGGGGGTATACATCTTGCCAAGGCGCTTGACCTGGCAAGCCAGTGCAGACAGCAGTGTCTCCGCGAAAGGCACACAACTATAGGCACAATCATATAAACCCGACAACAACTTCTATATAGAGACTTACGCGTCGAAACCGACTACAATCGCAATGCATATAGGAACGATATATGGCCTTGTCACATTCTTTATTGCGTTGTGGCGACGCTCAGTCTGAGCTCATCCTTCTCAATTGTATTGTCTGTTCCTCTAAGCCTCGAGTTCTTCTAGCCATCTGGGGATAGGTGTGCACTGGATTCACGTTCGTGGGTTTTTGCCCAGAAAAGAGGAAAAATTACTATCTCTAATACTGGTAGATCTATGCCGAACCCACTCTAGATTGATTTTCTGTGTGCGCTGACGCAAGACATTGTCGGGTCTATTCTTGCTCTAGTGAATATCGGGTGTGTCGCGTTCGTTGTTGCTTGATTCGAGTGTAGTGCACGCATCCTGTTACCAACGTCAAGTCAAGGCGGAAGGATCCACGCCAGCTTCGATGCATTCGCCTTGGCGCGAATATACATTGATGATGTAGTATGAACGGCTTGGCGTATATGTAGATCATTCTGAACACTTTCAGACAGCTCTCGGATCGCATTAATATCTGCAGCAAGCTTGAGTTATGGCGCTGCGACAAGAAATTTCTTCCACCGTGGCCCCTAATTCGAAAATTAAACACATTCATAAATAGCGAGTGTGATAATAAATATTATATATATATATATATATATATATGTGTATGTATTCATGTATGTATGTATGTATGTATGTATGTATGTATGTATATATATATATATATATATATGCATATATATATATATATAAATATAATATATATACATTTATGTATACATATATATACATACATACATATATATATATAACGCATACATAAAAATACGTGTATATATTAAGACACATATCCATGTTCATATAT